TTTTTTGAGTATATGAGGAGAAAAAAAATTATTTTTTCAAAAAGTAACTTGCATTATTCGATAGTACTACTAAAGGGAAATCGTCCTGCTGCGGGAAAACAACCATCAATATGTCAGCGTGTATATATATATAGTATAAATACTCATACTTATATGTTATTCATGATTTGAGAAAAGTAACGCAATATCCATTGAAACTTATTTAATTATGAACGATACATTTGTTCAAGATTATTGTACAAGAGCTCTTACAAGATCTATTATGAGTTTTGAAATAATGAATTGCACTGTAAGAGACGTTTCCCCTGAAGAGGCCAGTCATCGTAATAATACTTTAATGGAAGCTTATAAGTAAGTGAAGCCACAATGTGATCCGGTCGAGTCACTCTCTGTGGTACACTACTTAACATTATTAATTCTTTATCCTATCAAGCATAACAGTCCCTTTCAGAATAGTATCTTTGAGAAAGTATTGAGAGGAAATGTTTATAAAAAGTATCCGATGATTAAATTGATAACGTGGTGTTTTTGTGAAAAGATTGGCCCAAACAAGTCTTATCTGACAAAGCCCTTTCGGGCTCGTAGGAGCGCGGCCCGGCTTAGAACCCTTTCACTAGAAGATCAATGCGCACACGTTGCTGGCACAAGTCATAGGAGACTGGTCTACGTGCACATGAGTGAAAATGGATTAGTAATTCACTGTACATTGCTTTTAAATTCTCCTAGTTAGGAAAATTTTCGGAGGCTCCAGCCATTATCATACAGATCTGTAACTAAATTGTTAAAAAGAGTTATAACCCGACAAGTCGTTGTATTCACTTTATGTATCGTCCGGTACTGAGGTGAGGTGCTGAGGTATCCTCTGTCTGTATAGAACTATAAGAGTTGAGTTGTTGATTGTAATCAACTGTGTTTGTGTTAAATGTTACTTTATTCATTTTTAGTATGGGACAGCAATGCTTCGGCACGAATGAGCCGGCTCGACCGGAGTAATACCACGGCCTCACAGAAAACCGACGTGAAACAACGCTTGCGTGTGATTACAGAAGTGAGATTACAGAAGGCCCAATTATCCAAACCTTCCCCAGTCTCCCCATTCCCTGAATCCCCAACAATCCTAATTCCTAAAAGGCCAGTATCGCACTTGTCACGCCTCTGGTGTTCCAGGTTTCCATAGGTGACGCCTATTGCTTACCATCAGGTGATACTCTGGTCATTTACCGGTTTATCTCATAAAAAATCAGGTTAACTTATCATTATAAAGTTAAATATTGACTAAAACACTTTTCTAGTAATCCATTGATCTAAGGTACCAAACCAAAACTAACATAATAATTATGTGAGAGCAAAATATCCGTGTAACATCATACATTCAAAATGAATCATTAAAAATATGAGCGCGTGGCGGGCGGCGGGCGGCGGGCGG